GATTATAGAAGGTTACAAATGGAAAACTGCTTTTATAACTCGTTTTGGCTTATTCGAATCCCTGATAATATTTTTTGGTTTTTGTAATGCTTTTGTTTTGTTTTAGAATTATATTAATCATATTCTTTTTGATTTCCTAGATAAGAATTATACAATATACCTAGACAATATCTTGATTTACTCTAAAAATGTTATAGATTATCAAAAGTAAGTTTATAAAGTTATATAAAAACTTATTGATATTGAATTACAAATTAATATTGATAAATACAAATTCGAAATAAGAAGAATAAAGTATTTCAATCTAATTATTATTTCTGGTAATATTGAGATAGATTCTAATAAGATTAAGACTATTCTCGAATAGAAGTTATTAATTAAACTAAAAACCTCTAATGCTTTTTAGGGTTCGCTAACTTTTATTGATGCTTTATTTATAATTTTTCTAAAATCATAGAATCTTTAAATCGCTTATTAAAAAAAAAGAATATATAGAATTGGACTACTAATTAAAAGATGCCTTTGAAAACCTGAAGTATATCTTTGTCTCTATTCTAGTTCTTATAATGTTTAATTATTACTACCACACAGTTATCGAGATAGATATTTTCAATTAAGCTGTGAATAGAGTATTCTCTCAGTATAACAATAAGGACCGATTATACCCGATTATATATTTTTTCTCAAAACATAGTATTGCCGAATACAATTACAAGATCTATAATAAGAAATTACTAACTATTATCAAGTTCTTAAAAGAATAAAGATCTGAATTATATAAAACTCAAAAGCTATTCGAGATTATTATTGATTATAAAAATCTAGAGTACTTCACATCAATAAAAATATTGAATTAAAGATAAACTAAATAAACTGAATTCCTAGCTGATTTCAATTTTTATATTATATATAGACTAAATCTTAAAGCAATTTGCCCCGATATATTGAATAGGAAAGTAGAAGATTGCTTTGTACATATTAACCCTAATAATAACTGAATCAAGAATTACTTACAAATAATCTTTTCGAAAGAATATTCGATATTATTATATTCAAAAACCTTATCCGATAAATAAATAATGATATTGATCTCATCGTAACGTCTATAAGTATAATTATTCTTGATACTAAAAAGCTGATTAATAATTTTATTAATAAAGTATACAAATCATTTGAATTGATTACTATTATACATAAAACACTTCAGAACCTAATTGCTTATTATTGGCCACTATCAATCCGAAAAGACTTCTGAATTGTTCTTCAAGACTGTAGATTAATCAATAATAAAATTTTCTATTGCAACCACTTCTTTATTCCTCCCTTTATTAAACTTCGCATCTAGATTATATACCAAATACATTTCACTAATCCAACAGGATATCCCGGTTGAATTAAAACTATTGATCTTATCTTCTGTATATACTAATAACTCAATATATCAAGAGAAATCGAAACTTACATACAAACCTGTCAATTCTGTTTTTAAACCAAAGTCTCCCATCTTGCTGTACCCGGATTTCTAGAATTCTTGTTAATACCATTCCATCTTTGATTCGATATCTTTATTGATTATATTACACTACTACCAATTAGCGAATACTATAACAAAAAGCATTAATATATCATTATAATTGTTTATCGCCTAACAAAAATGTATTATTTCATTCTGGTTATAGGATTATCTATAAAGAAGCTCACTGATTAATTTATCAAAAAAGTCTATTGCTTATATAATACACCTAACAATATAGTATCCGATAGAGGTTTATAATTTATATCAGAATTCTGAAAGTACTTATCCAAATATTTATTAATCACTTTGAAACAATCCTTCTCGTTTCACCCTGAGTCCAATGGATAAACAAAAAGAATCAATACTATAGTAAAACAATATCTTCGGATTTTTATAAATTTCTATTAAGATAACTAATATAATTAATTCCTATTCATGAAGTTTGTACTTAATAATATCACCTCAGAAACTACCGGCATATCCCCATTCTTTGTTAATTATAGTTTTTATTTATATCTCAATGTTGAGCCCTCTTTATCTGTTCCCTTAAACCTATTATATTAATGTAAATACAAATTCCTAAAGACTAATAAGATTACAAATCGATTTGATATTATCCTAATAAAATTGAAAGCTTTAACTGCTTAATCTATTCAGAAATATGAAGATTATACTAATAAAACTTACACCAACATTCTTTTATATAAAGAAAATAACAAAATATGGGTTAATATTAAAAATATAAAAATCAATTACTTAATAAAAAAAGATAATAACAAATAGGATAATTTCTATAAGATTCTAAAAGTTTATAAACAAGCCTATCTACTTCAGCTTCCCATTAGTTTTAAGATCTTTCCAGTATTCCATAACTCATTATTCTGATCACTCCACTGCTCACCTAAACTAGCTGATTAAAAAGTAATTAATGAAGCCAAATCCCATTAAAACCAAGGCTGTATCCTAGAAAGAAATAATGAAACGAATAAGGAAATCAAGCAATAGGAATTTAATAAACTATTTGACTACTATAATAAAAATAGATTTTATTATTAAATCAAATAGAAATATTACCCAACATCTTAACAACCCACCAAAAACCTTTACGATCAAGAAGATATGATTATCGCTTTTTATTTAGCAAATCCAGATAAACTAGAACTATCTGTTTGAATAAGTTTCAAAAGATCTATTACTCCTAATTCTCTGTTAGTATTTATATTAAGTGTATTCCCGAATCAAGGTTAAGGCAGATCTAAAAAACTCCGATAATTGATTATTATTCCCAAGAAAGTTTATTTTAATTTAATAATAAAAATTAAAATATTTTAATGTTATTTTGTTTTTTAAAAGGTTAATTGATATTATAATCATAGATTAATCACCTTGAACAGGGGGTATTATCATAATGCCAACTATATAATCTGTAGTTGCCTTTATGCTTCAGGTATAGTATATTAGTACGCCCTACTTTCTATAAATAAAGCTTCACTTTTCCATAGCTCTTCTACCCTTATGGTATAATATAAGTCTTTACCCGTACCTTGACAATAAGCGAATTTTCATAAAAATTTAGGATTTTCAGCTTTGACTTTCTCAAATCCTATTTAAAAAATTAGAAAAAAAATTCTATTTATTTTTTTTATAAGATTTAATTAATTAAATAATATTTACCAAAAGAATTTCTAATTTTATTTTTTATTATAAGAAATAAATTAGGGTATAAAAAGTTGAATAATCCTATATTTTAGCTGGAAAAGCGTTACATATGTGGTGAGCAGGGGCTAGAACTCTTACGAATTCTGTGAATGAATACGAGTACGGTATACGATTCTATACGATTTATAGAGAACGAATCAGATCTCTCAAATCATGTGCCCTAGTACTTCACGAATTTTTTGATACTTCGTACTTCCTACTATAGATATGAACCATCTTTACTATCAGGAAAGTGATGCCTGCGTCGGGTGGAATGAATTCGGTGGGCGGTGAACTAGCTTGTGGTATCAAGTAAGCATACTCTGCTATCTGCCGAGCTTCACTATCGTCATTTCTTCAGTTCAGTGAGTACAACCTTCAACGATCTGAAGAAAGCTCTTCGACCTTTGACCGTTTACTTTATCAAACAATGAACCTCTAATTGAGCTGTGCAGACTGTTGCAAAGGGATTTTGTGCGTGTGGAAATCCTCGAATGGGACGAGAAATTTCGCTGTCATTTCAATTCCTACACAACAGTCGAGATATAACAGAGTTCAAGCATTACCAAAGTCTGGTTCTTATAGCCACCAGGTCCCCTTGATATAACATACGCAATCAACCGCGAGTTCGATACCACGCATCCTCTACATGCGACAGGATAAAACGATAAAGCCTTCCCCCTGCGATGCGCTCGATCACCGCTGACAATATCTTTCAAAATGCCCTGCAAATTTTACAAATGATGGTTAGAAGCGAAGGCTCCTTGTTGTTTTAGCTGGAACATTTGAATACCGCTCGGTGAACCCTCAGAGTGTTCAGGAAAGTGCTACAAATCTCATAGTTATCTGCTCGTCTGCATGGTCCGAGAAACGCTGGCCATTTCGAAAGACCTGAGAGAATAGCTCTGAATGTGCAAAGTGTAGGAGCTTCCCGAGCTATAAGCAGAAACTCCTCGAAATCTGGCTGAAAATATGCTGAAAGTTTCACACTGACATGTTGTAACCATCACCTGAATATACTGTTTGATTTCAACACGAGTTTGCGTGCATACTGTGTAATACAGTCTGCAAGTCTACGGTCCGACAAGAAAGACATCAAAGTTTTGCGATTTCTAAGCAGTCATATCAGATTTTTAGAGTCCTCTTGGTCAGTGCTATTGAGGTGTGCATACATGGTGAAATGCGGCCATTCTTGGAGTTTCCATTCGGGCGCATCCACTACTATTTCCCCGTATCCAGGTCGCGCGCGAGGTGGCCGGATACTGCCTTCCCTTCTCAGATCTATATAATTCGATGTGAGATTACATGTTTCATATTTTGCGATGTCCTTTGTCGTCTTATTCATCTATTTGGCGGCAGCACATGTAACCCACTCAATATGTATGTCTTGCCTTGAAGCAGATTTCGGTCTATTGCCGTGTAAAAACAATTCCATGTGGAGTTCACAAGCACAGCATCATTTGCTCTCTTATGGGCCTCACATGACACTTTTTCCAATGCTTATCATATTGGTTTTAGCCCTTCAATCCGGCTGATACTTCTACACACCATCTCACCAACCCACTCCTCTATATTTTTGTCTTCCCTAGCCCGTTATCTATATTTTTCTATTGTTTCTGGATGTTTACCGGGTCTTTTCTGCATGAAAAATCACGAGTTGTACGATTTTCTGGACCCTTGCGCAAAGATAAGCACCATCACATGCCATTCGCAGCAGACTTTCATGGCTTATCAACAACACACCACAATATTTTTATTTGCTGTCGGTCGATAAGAACTCCAGTGTGACATTAAGAGATGGATTTGCTAGAAGAAAAGAAGACGGTCCCCTCGAGAAAGGTTTGGTATAAATCTACATTCGATTAAACATCTCTTATCTCCATAGTCATATCAAATCAGTAAACTCTCACATTTACCACTGTCTTGTCGCAACTACTGATCTCTTCTTTCCATTCCAAGACCACGAGTTCATCATGCTTCACTTGCCATATCCATTTCCGGTCACTACTCGAGTAATGGAGTATAAACCACTTCCAGAAAACTCTACCACAGAGAAGTCCGAGCCCTCCAACACCATGGTAAGTTTCCCCTCACTTAATCAATGCCTACCATTCGCTGATCACTTCACAAACAGCAACCACTTGATATGGTCGATATCGAGAAGAACGCCGCGATTTCGTCGTCCGGATATGGCACAATCCCATCATATACAAGCAAAGAAGGCGTATTGAGAGCCCCACAGAAACAAGATGTTCGAGGCATTTGGATCAGTTTTGTGCAGAGCCTGGTTGCTGTTGGGATGTTCACTGCTATGGCGGTCACTCTTGTTCTAGTGATTTTGTAGATGGGTTGGACTCTTTGCTTATGTCTTTTGCGGATGACGGATTTAGAATGGCGATACGATCCGGCATTGCTGGCGTGTTTAGGAGCAAGGTAGCATCAGGATTCCGTACCGGAGCTTGGATTTTTCTCACATTGTTTACAGTATGATCTGGCATGCGCTATGAATTATGACTTTAGATACCTTTTGAGATTTGGAATAAACAGTTTTATACCCTTTACATGATTCTTCATCTGGTTGTTGCCATGCTCTTGACTGACAATCTAAACATAAGATCAATATTGGCATTGGAGTCTTCAATCGATTATCTACGCAATTCGTTTTGCAGAATCACATCAACCACCTATTCACCACTATCTGACTATTCGACAGCCCTCTTTCTTTCGCCTATCGTTGACAAAATTTCTCTACTTCTTCGCAATTTAGTTCTCCAAACCATTTTTCGTGTAATTTATTCAGCATCTTTCACAAATTTACTGTTTCCTATCTCCTCACAAAATTGAGATCCTTGATATACCTCTGCCACAGACTTCGTATCTGGTTCTCCAAGGATATCTCTACGTTCCCGTGTTACTCCAGGAGAGCTCTTCTCCTGTTATTGGTTCTCCTGTTATTGGTGGTAGACTGGAATATCTCCGTTTTTCTTTTTCTGATTTTGGCTGGGTTGAACGGATTTGCGGGCTTTTTTATTAGGTACAATAAGTCAGTTTTCTCGAGTATGTAATGGTCTACGGTCAATTGAATGGGTTTTGGGAATTGAAAACTACTAATTCATCACTTTCCTGCCCATCATCTTCTGCTTCTCGGTTTTGCCTTAATTCCCTTTTCTCGCTTTCCTTACTCTCTGCTTCCCTTTACGCCTTATGATTTAACTTGCGTACACGAAAAGTCAACTTTTCATTTCCGTATATCAAATGTTTGCTTCTTCTCTACATTTCTACTTCGCTTTACCACGAGGTATTCAACGAATTCAAAATTATCGAGAGCAGCTTAAAGGAGATGCAAACACCCGGCTACCGAGTCATCACTGCCGGTGCGTCTAGGTTCATACTCGTTTAGCGACACAGCCTTTCAATCATCCCTAGATTTGGGATCTCACATCATACAAAGATTAACACTTGAACAACTTCACGTTTTCCGATTTTATTGCTCTCCATTCTTGTACATGAGCCCCTACATACAAATTGCAATAGGAGAGACAAGACAGGGTAAGATAACAAGATTGACCTAGCCATATGGCACTCGATACATCATACCACCCTTGCCTGCTGACACTTGACGCGGCCTCACGAAGTTCTCAATTGAGAAGACAGGCTTACAGGGTCCCTGTACCAGAACCTAATTGCACGATTTGATTCGCTCCCACTTTCTCTCACGTAAGAACCTTATTTGCTACTCTAAAGCTCACATCGTACAAACCCTCATTTCTGATATAGTCCTCTCTCAATACGGCCCCCAAGAAGATTTAAGCGCTTTCTATTCGTTGTCTAGTAGTGCAAATGAGGTTTGATGTTGATTCTTCAACCCCACATGTCAAGCTGCATTTGTGGATCCTTCTCGATTGGGCAACACTATTCTCGAACAAGACATTTTCCACAAATTGATGATATGATAAGAGTTCACAAAAACTCCCTAGATATTGGATGGAAATATTATATGTATCCTCCAAATGGCTTGGCGCCGATCAGCTGTGGCGGTACAGTCATGTCAGCACAATGTAATCTTAATCTATTCCATCCCCGCCATTCTCGTGAATTGGCTGAAGATATATTCTCTCTCGACTCATGTATTTTATGTCCTCAAGAAACATTTCATCTTATCAAAACCCCCAATCTAACCGTGTTTATGTCTTCCCATTCGCTCACCTCATTTACCCTCTTCCCTAACCTCCCCCTCGAACTCCAGCACCAGATCTGGTTCTACACTCTCCCCGGTCCGCGCCTACTCCGCATAGACTACTCTCCTATCCTCTCCAACGGCCAATATGCCACCACCAAGTCTCTCGATCTCTATACCACTTCCCCTAGATCCTACGGTCGCCAATTACCCATAATACTGCGTATCAACAAAGCATCTCGTGAATACGCCCTCACACAACTTGTCGAACGATTCAACTGTTATTGGAATCTAAAAATAGATATACCTTATATTCATGCGAGAGAATATCGAAAATCCGAAGCTCGATTCACGGTGCAGTATCTAGCGGAAAATGGAGGGCTGGAAGGATTTAGAAAATTGGCGCTTGATGTGGACTTGCTCAATGGAGGAGATAGTTCTGATATGTAAGTGCTCCATGTTCTTATTTTGTTTCTGGAAACTTCTCACAAGTCAATGTAGCATATCAGCTGTTCATAGCTGTCCCAATCTCTCGAATCTCTTCTTGGCCTACCCGTCAATAGATATCTGGGATAATCCAGAAGGTCCGGATGATGTGAAGCCTTGGTACATAGGGCCACCATCAGAAGGTGAAGTTAAAACAGTATGGGGAAAAAGTACGATGACGAGACTTTCGGGGGATGTTATGGGGTATGTGAAAGATAGCGATCGAGCGAAGCTTGAGAATCTGGAAGGGAGAGTGGAGAAATTGAAAATTGTCATGATGGTTTGGTCATCGATGTGCACTGCACTGCGTGAGATGGAATTATGAGAGGTTGAATGAAGTGTGGTATTGGATCACCTGAATCGCGTTACCCCGGAGAGCGACGGTTAATTTTAATGAAGTCTGATCTGGGAACTAGAGGGACAAAGAATCCTTGTGAGCAGAAGTAATAATTACATAGATGAAAATTTTATTGAAAGCCCAGAATTTAGGAGAAATCCTATATTAAGAGTTCGTCTAGCTTCTACGTAGTCAAATTCTGCATTTATACCACTCTTCTTTCATATCCAATTTCTTCTTAATAACCTCCTCGCTCTAGCTCATGAACTTTTGCCAAGCCAAAATATTCGGGAATTTAATCAACGGAGTCTCTCCCCATGGATACCTCATACTATATGGCGGTATGATCACATTACACGTGTAAAATACTAAATCCGCATATGTACACTTATCTCAACAGTTGGAAAAGAAATTCATAAGTTTGAAGGCCGGTTGCACGATTACTTCCGCATTATAGCACCCCAATCGACGGTGAGTCTATTACATTGCGGTCATCATTGCAGATTTCACGTGCAATTACCGACTACGAATTCCAAGTCACGCTATCACATTCATTTTATATGGATAAAGTAACACTCATAACAATATCGTTGAAATTTCTCTCAAACACTAGATGTGGCTGTAGAAAATGCGGTGCATCATCATTGAACGTTTGCAATGCGGTATCATCAGTCCTCATCCGTCTCTTATTGAGAAAGAAGTCACATATCTCTAGCTTTGCAGTGATTACAACTATTTTCTTTGAACGTATACGGGTCAAACTACGGCTTCTGAATACGAATGTGAGCTTGAATGAACAGAGTAGCGTATCCAAGAATACTTACGGTTTTCTAATGCAGCATTAGTACAAAACTCACGACTCTTCAGAAGTTTTCATAATGCACGTCTTATTCAGAATTGTCCTAGGTCATAAAGCAAGCTGATCAACACATCCATAATATAACCATCAAGAATAAAGTAATAATCCCTGATCGAGATGGATACATTCCCTCCATTCTACCAGGCAGAGGTTGCGCTTGCAGCAATTCAAGATCATGAATCGCACATTCATGAACGGGAATCCGGGCTGGGCCCAACACCCGTTACAATCAACACTGATGCACTTACGAACCTTGTCAACGGACGACTAGATTTCAACGCAATCAAAGATCTCGACATAGAAACCAGCTTTCACACACAACCCGAACTAATAGGACAAATAGAGGTGATCGAAAAAACCAAGCAGACTCCACAGAAGAAGACCTGGGAGCAACTCCACGCCCTCGTTTTCGATGTCGCTAATGCATCTCTACGTATCATCAATCGTTCTGCTGTAGAAAGTAAAGCCCCCACCCTTAACTTCCTTCTTCAGTGACCTAGCGAGCGACTAATCGATTCAGGTAATTATACACGCGTTCCACTCCCTCGCGCGCGTCCCTACATGAAAGATTATATTTATTACCGTATGACGCGTGCCAAAAGCGATTCGCTCAATTTCCAGTACATGGCATACGCATTGATAGATCGTCTTGGTGTTAGGAAAGAAAGATTAAGAGGAGAGATTAAGGAGGCGTGGGTATTGAATGATCCCAAGGGAAGACGTTTCGAGACGGTTAGTAAATGGAAGTATTGGGCTACGACAACACAGGTGGAGATGCATGTTCGTAAGGGACAGACACAGTTTCCTGGATATAAACGCTGGTTTCATTGAGTTGAATCTTTCGATATGGATCTAAATGAATGTAGTGATTGGTTTTTGCAGTTATTTGACTTTTTTCAAAGAAAATAAATCATGTGTGGTCATAAATGCAGTCAATCTAAGTTTGAATCTAATAACGAATGAATACTAATCGGCAATCTAATGTTTGAGCAATACTTTTGAACCTGACAATCCAAACAATTACATGGATATGAGCTCAGTCAAATCCACGAAATAGTTTATGAAGAGCTGAAGACAAAATCGGACAATGAAGCAGTAGGCTAAGTTGGATTTGCATGAAGACTTGTGATGTTTCACCGTAGATTGCGTTGACCGGGAACAGCAATATTCCATCTACTTGGAAGCATTCTTCTCCTCATGACCTCTACTAGTCTTAGCTGCATATATACGTCCGCAGGGTCAAAAGCCATAATACAATTACAAAAGGACTGCGCCTATATAAACATAAATCCATGGTATCTCGCTAAAACGCCAAGTATTCCCGCGCTTCTACTCAACCCTGCCCCTGGTATACATCGGTGAGTAATAGTCCCATCCAATAGCTCCTATAAATGTAATATATGGAATCTTTAAAAGAAAGGATAATTACAATTGATAGAAAATTTAATCCGCATGTAAGATTCTCCCATCTCGAATCGCCTTCTTCAGTCTACGTTCCTCAACAGATTCCTTCGGGGTACTAGAAAACTCATGAGCCTCACAAAGATGAGTCTTAAAATATTCTTCCCTTGTAAAGATCGTCTCTTCATTACGGCACCGAGGACAGTGAAATCTGTGACCCGTAGCCACAACGTCCCATTTTTCAGTTCTAGACCTCTCTTGTCGATTCCTCACTAGAATCTTGGCTACTTTCTCCATTCGTCTTCGAACTTCTGATTGATTAAGATAGACATGAGTTTGTTTTCGTATCCTTTTGAGAGTTATGTTCTCATTGCCATGAATACGCCATTCTCCAAGATCCATATCACCGAGTCCCCCATCAACGTTAAAGCGCTCATAGGTACATCGATCCGCGGTCAGTGCTTCTACATATTCATGGGTTTTTCAGAGTCAGTCGTTGTAGCCGCGGTATATTTGATCATTTGTCGGTAATGGCTTATGAGTCCACTGTTCTGCCCGGCTATTGGTTGGACTTTTGTAGGTCGACCAGTACCAATGCTAAGTGTGAGGGCGACAGCGCCTTTGCCATGTACTTGTTCGACCTCTGCAAACGTTCTAGAAGTGGGGTTATTATAACCAAATCCTCCATCTACGAAGCGATCATTAAGTAGTTGAAATGGTTTGAAATATGTCGGCGCTGCAGTAGTTGCTCGGGTGACTTGACATATAGGGATGTGAAGCGGGGGGCCGGGATTGAGCTCTTCAGAATAGTTGAATTCTGATTTAACATGTTCGTATGTTCGAAAAAGGTAAGGCGCGTTGGCCGAGTTGTTTTCTCGGACCGCTAAAACGATTCTGTAATACGTTAGCAAGACAAACCCAACTTGACAATTTGGAGACATACGTCCGGCAGCGGTCTTTGTTTGAAGGATAAATAGAGTCTGCAATTTGATCTTCTTTCCAGTCTCTTCTTTTCAAAACATCTTTTATAGATTCCTCAAGTTTGCGATGGTCGTATTTTTCCCGATTCCATGGTATTGGACCACGCATTGAAAGCTTTCGTGGTTGACCAAATATCTTTTCTCCTAGATTCTCGTATTCTTGGATGCAGTCATCACTGTTCATTCGTAGTCGACTGAGCATAATAGCACTCAATCCACCAGTACTTGTGCCTGTTGTGAAGAGGTTAGCTGGTCATTGCTGATAAATGTAGGAAGAACATCCAATACCAATATAGTCAAAATAATGTACCGGCGAGAAGTGTGCACTTCTTGACTCTTTGCTGTTGGTAATCGATCCTTGACCTTGTTGGAATGGTAGTGGATGAAAACTCGACTTGACCAACTGATCTTGACTCTGCTCAAAAGAATTACAAAGTGCCATAAGATTTTGAATGATAAGTAGACTGGATAGACCACGCACACCTCCGCCGTCTACAAATCTGATTAGCTTCAACTTTAGGCTTCAAACCAAAAACGTATAATATATACCTAGCGTGAGAATATATTTCTTATTCCAGGGGTTATGTGTTGATCCATTGCGACCCGTACTGCTACTTGGACTGTGATTCATGGATCGGCTGGCTTGATTCGTAGGAGACGCATCTGGGATGAAGAGTGTTGAAGTCATCGAATGACTGGAGCTATGCGAGTTTCCATCGCTGATTGATAGTCGTCGAAGTCTTGAAACATCTGCATCCCACGGTTTCAATGAGTTGGGGTTCATTTTCGTTCACGAAAAATGATCAAGAGGATGAAAGAACCAGTCTTGGGAGACCTACTACTTTTGTCTTTGAGAACCCCTTGGGCATTTCTCAAATTAATATGTTGGAGCCCGAGAACGAATTGTATGAGGCTCTGCTTCAATTAGGAAATTACCCCCAAAGCGAAGCAGAATGTAGTGGCTGAGTAAATCATGCCTTCGAACTCGACAATTTCATGTGCGAAGGTTGTCATCATTTGTGGCAAATCTTCTCAAGCTGCGACCGCTGTGACCCAAAGTAGCAATTTGGACATTGAGGCACGGATTGTGGGTTTCTATATTGCGATCGTAACAACGGGCGCACAAGAAAATGTTGTGGTGGGATGAACATTGATATCTCCGCCAGCCTTGTTGATGGATCGGGCCTCAAATCTAGTTCAAGACAGATATCTGCTGCGCATTTTACGTCGAATATTGTAGCTAATTCTCACCAATCATCGATTCTTGACAATGAACTTCTAGCAACGGCGTGTGTGAGAGAATAGGAAATGACACGGGGTGTTATGAAAGTCAACCTTGACGTGAGATTGATGAAACAAGTACGAGGGGGGCTGAATTCTTGAAAATTTTCGTATGACTATTGGCTGAAATCGTAATGTAGACTAGCGTTGAATGGCCTGCATATGGTAGCACAAATGGGTGATTTACGAGGGAAACTGCTGGCTTCTCGAAGCAATCTGCCTTGGAAGGCAGATTTCCATATTAGATGAATGGCTCGGATCAATGTGTGCTACAATAATAGTAGAATTCCAAGAAATCCTGATGCAAAGCTGACACTAGGAATGGGCGCCATGTAATCGTGTGTATGTGATCAGGTGTATATTTGCAATCTGCCTTGCAGAGCCTCTAGCAGGTCTTTGGCAAGAGCATCGTATATTGTTGTGAAGATGTCTCCTTTCTTCCACAGTCAAAATTAGCAATCAATATTGATCGAATACACATTTTAAATTGCACGCCGAAATCTACCGTAAATCAATCATTCATCATGCCGAGAAGTTCGGAACCCATCGAGACGACTATTGCACCACACGATTCCATCGACAGGAAGTCGAAACGAATCAACAGCTGGGAGACGAAGAATGCGATTGTCTATGATGTATCCTTACAAAAGTTATTGAAGACAAAGCGCGAAGCGATCGAAGGTATGACTTCGGCGTTGAGTCACTTAAGAAGTAGTACTGATTGACTATAGCGGATCACACTCGTATCAAGATTCCAAAGCGTCCTCTTAGTCCTTTGCAGAAGGACAACGTTCGGATATCGATGCAATTGAACTCAGCAGCAGGATCGGATATCCTCGCAGAAGTCAAGTTGAGCAGTCTTGGATTAAAAGTCGTATTTGAGCGGTATCGAGGAAATATTGCCGAAATTTGGGTAAAAGGTATCCCACAATACGTGCTTTGAAGAAGTAAAGAATATACAAAGAGCGAAAGAGCACTCCAAATATAGATACAGAATATCTATGCATATATCGGAGTCCTGTGTAATACTATTTCTGGCGTTATGGAACTGAGATGGAGATTTGGATATCTGGGCTGGGCACTATACACTTTGGCTATTTGGCAATAATTACACTTGTTAAAACGCAAGATAACCGTAAAGCGCTACGTCTGATAGATTAGACGTACACTCCGGCACGTCTTAAGGAACTCAATACTCACAAATTCTTAAATGCGCGCCATCATAACATAAATCTTCATATGTATCCTAGTGCTCCCCAAATCGAGTCGCAGCCAGGGCGCTCACTCGGACTGCAAAACCAGATTAGAATTCTCGTATTGGTTACGTAATAGTAGCTTTATAGGTTGATCATGGTCCTGTTATCCCAGTTTGTCCAGTAATCGTCTTCGTCGCCTATCAACAAGCTCTTCCTGGACTTCTTCGCTCGTCGGTAATCTCCATCCTGCGCCATCGCCTGCGTCTCCGGGTAACGGCTCCCATCCATCGGGTGTGTTCTTGTCTTTGCCTTCCAATAAGTTCTCGTAAGCCTCTTTCTCTTTTTGTATTTCATAATCTAACAAAGTGCCGTCTTCTTCATCAAGGTTGTAACCATAATATGAAGCATCGACTTGTTTTCGCAGGTCTACTCTCGACTCTAGAGGTTGATCTTCGCGGGTTTTTATTGTTGCAGCTTCGAACATTTCTTTGACTCCCGGTAACTCTTTGGCACGTCCAAAATACCTGGCACAGAATCATCCATCAGCACAATTCGCGCATACTTCATCACCACATGGCCACGCATACCTGTAACCCTTCCCACCACCTGGTATCTCCCGCCCTTCATCATCGTAGACTTTCCCTCCGCCTCGCATATAATTCGGACCCCCCAAATTTTTAATCTGCACCTCCCACATATATTTCTCTCTCATAGCCTTATTGATTTCATCGTTCAAATCTCGAATCATGAAGTCACTCAAACTTGGATCCTGGATCTTGCTGACTTTGCGTGAGATCTCCTTCAGAACTTGGCCTCTCCATTTCTCGCATGATGGTATAGATGAGACTTCCGTTATCATCTTAGGGCGCCGCGTCCTTCCAGCATCGATAATACCCAACTCTGCTTGTTGCGCTTCCCTGAAGCGGAACAGCATCGATTGTGATTTCTCAGCATTACGAGCCTAGAAATGTTAGCAGCCATTGTATGACAATATAAGAGAACTATTATACCATGATTGTGAAGAGCTCCGTTGACTTGTATGGTTCTAATAGAAGAAACGAGGTTGTGATGCACTTCAATAAATGCGTCGAGTATATTTACACTCTCATGAACGATCAACCTGAGCTTGGACCCATGAGGCTGCTGAAATTTAAAGTAACAAGGCTGAGCAGTAAGGCCATTGTTTAGCGTGTTTTTAGCTTAGCGACACGCGCTGTAAGTATTTCAGCGCGCCTGGAACATCAATTTGCATCCCAACAACAATCTGCAATGACGAGAACAATCATTGAGCTTACACTACTTAACCATCTGAGAAATCAGAAGGTTCAGAATGTGTGAATGAATGAACAGAAATCTTAGCAGGCTTCCAATTCTATCATCTCGAGTACCTTTGATGTCTTGTTAGGCGGTCGCAGGTCTTTGATTCTATAATTTGGATCAAGCCGCAATGACGACAACCAGCTCCTCTTGAGATATTCGCTATGTTCTACCACTTTGAATAACTATTGGCCAAGTTTCCGAGAGATCGGGAATGATAGCCATAGGTATTGATTGAAGTACTACAATGGCAAAAGAATTATCGCTGAAAGCGGAAAATAGTTTTCAATCGGAGTAGCTTGGTAAGAGCAATCCCGTCTCATCCCCCTCCCGTTAACCAGATCTTTCTATGCTGGCGTTCGGAATCTTTAGTTCTCGACATCTATAACCGAAAGCATTGCTAACCAAATCTAGTTTCATATTTCCAATCATTCTTGTGACTTTTCCTTACAAACTTCGATAGTGTCGACGTGAAAGTATATGGAAGTATATTTCTTTGCCCGGTGATGACCAAACGTGTCCAAAAAGCCAAATTTGCAGGCCAACCTACTATCTTATACTTGCCTTGGGGCTAAATAAGATGGAAAGTGTTCGCAATGAGAACTTGAGAGCTTATCTGAGGGCATCTTCAATCTTTACTTTTTTCCTGGCATACTTCCAGCCTCTTCGTATCCATCGTTCCTTTACGCAGTATATTATTTTCCTACTCCACATCTCTCTTTTCATTTTTAAGAATCCTTGTTACACTTTAGCGGGTCTTTTGCTAGGAATTTTGATTGTGGGTTTCTTCACTCGTGCTGCTACAACATATCAGCCTCGCCGTAAAAAAATGAGAACAAAGAATTATTAAGTCACCTGCAAGCACTCACAACTCAATGGTTTCAGTGATTCTATCTTCTCATACCTCAACACTTTGTCCCGGGATTACATCATTTTTGCTACTTCTACTAAATTTTGACCATTGATATCGATAAACATATTTCAGTTTGTAGCGTTTTGCTGCCATGTTTTCGAGGCTCTCTATCAATTCGCATGATTCTAGTGACCAACCTTCGCCTTTGACGTCTTCGTCCTCGTCCTCTTCTCTGCCCGAAGGCGCGCATCTCTTGATAAACACAGCAGTGGAACAATCTGATGCCCCTGACTATGCGATTCTGTGTGTTAATGGGTTATCTTCCGCTGGATTATTTGAGGATGCGGCAGTCATTGCCCAAGGGTATTTGCATGAGAAACCAAATCATGCACTATTTTTGAAGCACTTGGCCAAAGGATTGTTTGAAACAGAACATTACAGTGAAGCTAGCCAAATATATCAGCGTCTGGAGACAATGCCGGGTTTGGCTAACGACACAGAAAAGAAACTCTGGACCATCGAAGCACTTCTCAACGACCATCGACCTGGAGCAGCGCTTGATGAATATCTCAGAACTCCTTCATTAGAAGAATCTGCTAAGGGTCTGTATTTCAAAAGCCGCGCCTTGCGGAAATTGAAGCAACCCGCAGCAGCAAGAGCTGCCGCTGATCAGATGTTAGAAGTAGCTGGGGAAAATGTCGTTGTCGACTATTGGGTTGAGTATGGGTTGGTGTTGTATGATTTGCAGGACTTTGTAGGATCATTGAAATATTTGCGCCAGGGCGCAACAGAAGATGTGATCGAGTCCGCCCTGGGGCTATCAGGCCAAGTGAAGGAAGCGGAAGAGACGTTTCAGTCTCCACAGACATTGAGTCCATGCCATCGTCGTAAAATCATTAATGGACCAGCTACCGATTGGGAGGAATTTAGGGGAAGAGCAAACTGGATGAAGACGCTCCCCGACTTGCGTGCCCTAGTACAGGTTTCATTTCATAACTCTCTCCCGGATCCGGAGGACTTGGCCAGTTGTTTGTGCATATTAGGTACCAGGCATCGAGAAGGTGGTACTCATGAAGCAGCGTCCGCATGCTTTGAAATTGCACTCAAAATTAATCATACATCTGCATTTGTGTTGTCCATGTCAGCTACAAACCTTGCGGCCAATGTCTCTCTTAATGAATCAGATGAAGCACGTTTTGCACGCCTTCAAAAAGCGGATGATCTGTGGGAACAATTGCTGAAAATCGGGCCCTACTCTGACGGATTATTCGAAGTCTCACACGCCGAGATCTATCGCCGTCGTGCAGAACTATGGAAAGGTGTCAAAATATCGTTCTACGAGAAGTACCTGTTCAAATATGCGGAAATTATCAAATCCCCTGCAGAATTTATATCGGTAGCAAAAGTTTTGAGGTCCAACCAAAAAACCGACGGTATCAATACAATTGCATACAAAGAACGTGCCGAAAGAGTTGATCGGTTATATTATGAAGCGCTACATTCTCCAGAATACTCACCCACTCATGCCCCTCAAAAGGCTGCCCTAGTATATGGATGGCGTGTTGACAATCTCGCATATGGTGATATTGATCCAGAACGACAAGAGCGATTCCTCCGACAGAAGATGGAACTTGACGGTAACCCCGACCGCCTGTTGAACTTTATGGGTAAGGCAGGAGGTCGCGATCGGGAAATCTTACAACTGCTTGAGGACGCTGAACGGAAGTTTGGTGGGAAGTACGTCGCGCTAGTCAAGGACCAAAGAAAATATCTCAAAAATATTGAGAAGATAAAAAAGACTTCTGCGAACAAAACACCAGATGATCCTCTTAAGCAAGATCCGGTTCAGAGGAGTATCAAACGAACACGAGTAGCAGCTGGTTGGCATGCTTGGAAGGCACAAAAATAATATTGGAGGATTAGTAGGCCGAATGGTGGGGGATACTTCTGGTAGTGATGAGTGGGACATTGAATGTCTCCTCAAAATACATTTCTCGATACTTTGCAAAGCTGCACAATAAATTTTGTAGCGTTGTCAACTCCTATTACTTCCTCTTTTTCCACAGAGACATTTATTCATTCTGTGTGCAAATTATTATTTTTAGCACATGAGGCGATATTCAAGAAGGCAATAGTGTTATCTATGGTGGAAACTATTTCAGCGGCCAACCTGCAGACATCTCTCAATCTCAAAACTCACGAGTCTTTCAATCAACGCTGTCAAGTATATATATTCTTTCCAGTGAGATCATCCGAATTATTTCTATTGCAATTTGTTTGAGAGGTCCTCTTCTTGGTTTCGTCACATTCAAGGCGAGCAATTTCTTGGGGACGAATGCCAATTTATTTCTTTGCTAGTATACCTTCAACTGGGAAGATCTTCACGGACGATTAAAAGATGCACGAGGAAAGAATCATATTCAATAAAAACCACAATTATATCAATATTTCAAATCTGATCACGAACTTTGGTCTTTATGAGAAGAGTATTATAGTTCGGGAATTGACCCCAGGTGGGACCATTTGAATTGAGCCTATCTCAAGATTGATCTACCCCAGGATTTTCAGCTAGTTAGCTATTTGGATCATATTTTTGCTAGTGCCATATGTTTCGCCATGGTGTCTACAAGATCCGGAGTCCGTGGAGACTTCAGAGAACCAAGAAAATCCATGTACCACCATTTCTCAACGCCGACCTGCTTTCTGTACAGATGCAGACCAGTGTCAAGGGATACAACCTATATGTAAAGATGCGAGCTAAGGTTTATCGCTGCAGGATGCGCCCTTGATAACGCGCATCTTTATCATATATTTTGCAACCAAAAACTTTGTCCTGCTGATCCGATCGACTGGGCTGGGATCCATACCATCCAAAACCCAAGCCTCCATGATTTCTCCCCTCAATCTTTCCTCCCATACATTGAGAAAATCGATAGAATAACATGTTAAATAGTGATGATCAACAGATCCGGTCTCTTTAGTGCGCTTGAGATTGTTCTTGAAGGTAGTCATGAAATCTGTCTTGAAGCCATGCTCAGCGCCTCTCTTGAAGCCGCTCTTGAAGCCTTGTTTGAGACTACGCATGAGTACGTTTGTCTTTGAATTTCCGAGGTAGATCTCATCTTTGTTTTTGGGGTGGAGGGGGGCGAGCGTAATGCGTGTATGGTTTGCTAAGGAGGGTTGGATATATTCTTTCTTAAAATGATTGGAAAGGGAAGGGCAAGTAGGGTATAGTTACACGTTAAAGCAGAACGATCAACGATGTACACACTGAGTTCTGGTAAATTAAATACTAGGGCATTGTTTTGCTCCCAGATGCTTAATTGTCGCGTGGTTGATATTGGAGCTAGTTCCCAATCTTTAGAATCACATTTTTCGAAATACCAAACATATTCATCGACATCATATGACGAAGGGGGATCATTATAAATCGACATCTTCTGTTTCTAGAACTATCGCTTTATTGTTGGTGGAAGCCTTGAAAATTTATTTATCAATTTGATCTGATGATTGAGTGTGTATTTTTTAAGAGGGCGGATGGCCAAAGATGCAAGCTCAGGTGTCGTTGTCAGCCTGAGAATCGGAAGGTTGTTGCAACTTGGCCGGATTGATCTTTAATACAGTAATTATATAGTACAGCTCCTTCATTCCTATCAACAGTATTTGGGCGTAGGACTGGAAATGATTCACTCATCAATTACGCATTTCACACACTGAGAAAACCGTAACATTCAGATGATGTTCGACCGTATTAGGACGCAAGATAGCATATAACCTGTCATCTTTCTCACAAGAAAGACCTAAAGCATCAGAAGAACAATCTATCAAAAGAATTGTCTACAGAACACGCAAAGACCTACCAGAACTCGAAACCCTTATCAAAAATTCATCAAAATGGACCAACAAAATCAGGACAGCTTGAACGGACAACATCTACCAGGTAAAAAGCATCCTACCACCTGGGAACAGAATTATGCTATCGTTTTTGACCTGACAAGTAAGAAAATATACAGGGCAAACCGCTCAGATATTGATAGTAAGTATCTCTCCCTGTCTCCCTTTCACAAAGCCACAATTCACATGTTACTTTTCTCTCCGCTCTATACTGCTATCATTAACACTGGGAACTAACAATCCTCCCTTATAGCATCAACTCACTTCCGCATTGCTCTTTCCCGTCTTCTCCCATTTGAGGAAGACACCGTCAGTCTGGGTAGGCGACGCACTTCCGACAGCCAAGACGTAGAACTCGTGGCTAAAGTCAGTGTCAATTCTCTCGGATTAAGAGAACAAAGATTGAGAGGAGACATCATGGAATGTTGGGTTTTGGATAACGCGAAGGGAAATACGCAGGGCACATTGGTGGGATGGAAGTTTAGGGACGCTTTTGATTACTTTGATAAGAAGTAAGTGAGAGTGGAATAGTTGTGGGTGGAGTGGACTTGAGAAGTTCTGGCTGTTAGAGAACGACAGCACCGATGTTGTCGGTAGTTTTGAGGGGGAGAACCACTGGTGCGCGGACACATGAGACAGGCTACATAAAGCACAATTTTTTAACAAGAATGAAGACCTTGTTCATTCAATTATGCTTCGAAGATCTAGTGATGCTAACAAAGAAGGGACAAAGTATTTAATTAACAAGTCCTGAAAAATTACACCTTTGAATCGAAAAATAAATCTTGAAAGCGAAGTTGCCGACGGGATTCGTTTTTCTATCAAAATATCAACAAGCAGGAATGATACATTATCTCTTGATGTCAACATTGTATCTATCTGAACTAATTTTGAACATGGTATATCATTGTTCTTGGCGAACTCTAGGTCAGGATTTGATAGGTAGCCAAGCTCAATTAGAATTTCTATCTAAGTAGGAGGCTGACGTAACCTTATCCTGGTATAAAATCATACCTTTTGAGTGTCGGATGAATTGATTTACCCATTATTGGACTGGGGAGCTAGATACTTGAGATTTCTATATACGTTAGATAATTCCGTTGAAGAAACGACTTATTTGAGTTGGTTTGGCTGCTCTTCTTATGTTTAGAAAAAGCACACCAAGGTGCCTTTGATTTCTATTAACTCCTTTGTGGTGGCTTTGACAGGCTAGTTGCCTTCTAGCTCTACGCGGAACACTTCGTGAATCATTACATAGTATTCTGATTGGCCATGCACTCACAGTCATCTTAGTGATATTTAATTAACGGTGCGGACGCTTTCTTGAGTGAGATTTTTCTGTATTTTCTTGTGGGGTTGGGGCTACGAAACGACTTGGAATGATGCGTGTTGTTTCTTAATCTCCTACCCGAGAAAGGGAAAAATCGTGGATGAAGAATTGTTCTTTATTTCTAGAGTACCTAAATGTAAATCAAGTATGGAATATGGGATCGGGACTAAGGAATTGAAGAATCATGAGGTAGGACATGGGGAGATAATCTCTAGATTCTGGATTGAGTAGATGTTTGATGAATGGAATGATCTACAGAAGGATCCCTCATTTGCATTTGACACATGAAATAACACTAATAACTCTGATATCTCATGAAGAAAAATTCAAAGGGGTTGTACGTTGAAGCATGGTTCATATGCCATATATGGCACCGAGAACTATTTCGTTATCCGGTTGTTCTATCTTTGACATTTGATCGGCTAATATGTAAGATGTGGTTCAAGGGGCAAATTCTGTGTTACCTTTGATATCCGGTTGTTTGGTTTCCGGTCATGGGAAGAGGGAACGTAATCTCTCGCAGTACGAACTCTCAAGGTAATTAATTTGCTGGCGCTGTCATCGTGTATCTGTTCTAACTTTTCTAGCAGCGGACCATTAGAACCCGAGACCCTCAAAATGGTTCAATCTCAATTGCAACTCAATAGTAGTTGCATTAGTGAAGTCATCTCTCAGCATCTCTTGTACTAGATACTCGGAAATGCACGTGATATTCATGTGATAGACAGGGTAAAGCTTACTCCTTCCTATTCTAGATCCGGCTAATTCCGGACGGTAATCTGATAGCATGACGGAAACCCACTTTGAAGATTCTCCGCCTATGTCCTTCTCCGGTATTCTCTTTCGATCTTTAAATCAATATGACCAAGTAATGTAGCCAAGTGCCATTACCCTTACTATAAGCTTTTCCAAGACGAATAGAATTATCCCAACGATCAATCACCTGTCGCACGACATCAATATCATATTCTATCAGGTTCCTCTCCATTCACTAGCCTTGAACCGTACATGGAGTCTACACCTTGCCTCGGCTGGCATCGCAATATCTTATGCTGCCAAGCTGGAACCGCCAAGATGATCGAGAATGAGATAGTGTGCAGAAATACAACCGTAGAATTACACCAAGGGAATATTATAGATGATCTTTTTCCGGCAGGAGATAAGCCTTTTCAGCCACGGCGTCGAAAATATCGGCATTACAGATTTCAACAAGCAATAACGCGAAGTCATAGCCAAGACGATTTCGCCATCACGAGATCCTTTCGAACTTCGAAACCAGACAAATTTCGATAGAAGTTCATTCTCGAAAAGGGAGGTTGTTATTTGATTCTAGTGAGATAAAGCCATCTTCGAAGATATTGTACAATCATATGCCCACTTCACTTGGCGCTTCTGCGTCTCTTCATATCTGCAAGTGTCACTGCATTTGATTGTTAGGATGAGCGCTTGGCTACACGCTTGGCAATCCTACGTAGACTATAGGTTGTGTGCCAATCGCATGCCGCATATTTACAGATCGATAAGAAAAGCTTCACAACTTCCCAATTCGACATGAAAATCAGTTGGAGAGCATGACATACACTACCATGATGGCGTTTAGCCTGAGATTCATACCTATTTCATGTCGTTTGTGTCGGCTCGTGGTCCATCTTAGTTGATGGCGTTCTCGATGGTGTTATACTAGTACTGGCTTGCTTCATTCTTCAATCACCCCCATACCGATATGATTGTCGAATAGCATCGCAGAAATCTCTACATTCCATGATAATTACCAGTGGCCAAGTCAGGCCCTGGAGCAATATTTCATGCCATATCCTTAACAGCTTCCATAAATGTGATAGACCTGTGCCTGAAGGTAGTGATAACAATCATTTGTAGAAGGTGACGATGAGGTATGTAGTTAACGTGGTGATATCGAATTACAACATACCTTGGCTATCCAGTTCATGGCAATCTTATCTTGGTCGCGACTCGGAATCATCGTCGACAGTGAGTATTGTAGGTTGCATATGCAGAAGAGCCTCAACCGTTTTTATTTAAATACTGCCTTTGTATCCCTCTGGAACTCTATCACCAGGAACATCTTCTTCATTAACTCTTCATCAAGAATAACCTTTTGACCACATCTTTATCATGGCTGGCTATCTCACCGTTCTTACCGCTTTCGCGGCTGCCTTTGCTCCTGTTTTTGGTGCACCAGCAATCGGAGTGCCTCATCCAAAGATTAAGACTCCAACCACCGTCGCTAAGGATATCGTCGCCGATAGCTATATTGTCGTCTACAACAAGGATATCTCACCAGAGGTGACTGCTAGCCATGTTGACTTTGTTAACGCTATCGTCGCAAAACGTGACAACGCCGTATCAGTTGGTGCAAACTACAAGATTCACGACTTCGCTGGATATCAGATCACAGCTGATGCGGAAAGCATTGTTGAGATCGCTAACAAACCAGAAGTATGCATTCTCACTACGAAATATGTAACTTACTGACAATTGGACTAGGTTGCATACGTTGAGAAAGATCAAAAGGTCTACGCTTCAACATTGAAAACTCAAACTGGAGCTACTTGGGGGCTAGGTCGCATTTCTCACCGTGCACAAGATACCACTAGTTACATCTATGATTCTACCGCCGGAAGTGGTGTGACCGTATACGTTGTCGATACTGGTGTCTACACTGCTCACTCTCAATTTGGTGGACGTGCCAGCATGGGAGCCAACTTTGTCTCTGGATCAGCTGTATGTTCAAATCTAGTGGCAATCAGGAATTGAATTTGCTAACATATAATAGAACACTGATGAGAATGGTCACGGAACTCACTGCGCTGGTACTATTGGTGGTAGCACATACGGTGTTGCTAAGTCGGCAAAGATCGTTGGTGTTAAGGTTCTTGGTGCTGATGGATCTGGAACTAACTCCGGTGTTATTTCTGGTATTCAATGGGTTGCTACCAATGGTGGTGCTAAGTCCGTTCTAAGCATGTCTCTCGGTGGTGGTCTATCCACTGCTTTGAACAGTGCCGTTACAAGCACAGTTGCTGCCGGTGTAACAGTTGTTGTAGCTGCCGGAAACGACAATGTAAGTTTGGATACTTTTTTATGTTGAATTTTCAGACTTAGAAAAAAATTACTAACTCTCCATCCAGGCAAACGCAGCCAACACCTCTCCCGCTTCCACCCCTAACGCTATCACAGTCGGTGCCATTGATGCAAACGACGTCCGAGCTACCTTCTCCAACTACGGTGCCGTTCTTGACATCTTCGCCCCCGGTGTCAACGTTCTTAGCTCCTGGATCGGTTCCACAACCGCTACCAACACCATTAGCGGAACTTCAATGGCCACTCCTCACGTTGCAGGTCTTGCAGCTTACTTGATTGCTCTTGAGGGCTTGGCAACACCAGCTGCTGTCGTGGCTAGAATTAAGGCATTGGCTACTGCCAATCTCATCACCAGCCCTGGTTCTGGAAGCCCAAACCTCATTGCCTACAATGGTAACGGTGCATAAAAGCATGGAGTGGCAACAAAATTTGAAATGTAGATGGAAAGGGAACAGGGGTCAATGTTATGCGAACGGAGTATTTACCATTGACTTGGCTATTTTGTCTCTTTTTAAAATGGTGCATAGGGAAGACTTCTTCTGTGATAGGAATGAGGTATTTGATTCTTGGGTGAGAATCTTTCTGGGATGTGTTGAGTAGCTAGGAATTTGTTAAATTGCAAATATTTTGGTGAAATGGGGTTTTGCTTCATCTTAGAGTGATACAATATTGCACTGTAAATCTTCTCCCAATAGATTTCTCTTCGGCTATACACCATTTTTAGGGAATGAACTGTCTTAATTATTGCCAATACCTTCCAACGCATCATCGAATTCATTTCTAGTTGTAAGTTTTGATAGTATCCAAGATCCCTAACTCGGCCCTTTCTACGCAACGAAACTCGAATAGACTCACACAAATCTTTAGATTGAAGACGTGAAGAAGTGGAGCTTAGAAATTAGTTTCCCCAAATCCTATCAATGTACAGGTATCAGGGGACCGTAGAGTCTAGCTAACAAGTTCCAGTTCCCCCGTCAGAGATCACTCCATTTCCATCATCATTTTACTTTGATAAGCATTTTACTGTTTTGAACCATGGCAAGAGTCAAATACATTACGATACCTACTGAAGCTGCCTTCAAAATCCCAGACGCAGAAATTCAACCATTTTATATCGATTGTAAGATTTTCACGTCATTTCCTAGTTAACTTTGCACAGCGAGAATGAGTATTGATAAGTTAATCTTGCAAGTTGCATTTGATCCCTATTGACATTCATATCGTTGAATTCTAGAGGGAGTAGATGCACAAAATTTGTTCTTTTCCTGATCAATGCGAGGATGTTATGGATTCTGCTGAATTGTGAAGGGGTTAATGACGCATCACTTCTGCATAAATAAGAACTCAACGGTTCTATGACAGTAATTCATCAAAAGCAAAGGATTTTGAGTAGTAGTAATCAAAAACTTTTGCATTGATTTGAATTAACTTGAGAATCAGATAAACTTTACAAATTCTATTTTTGACTTACAGCAGCTACCTACTTAAAAACTTGACCAAGATAACCTACTCTACCCCCAAAATCTCATGATGCACTTGTAGTACCTAGTAAAGAAGAAGAATTCCGCAACGAATATACATACACGTATGTGTTCTCACACCGGCAATAAACTAGGGAATAATTCCACCCCTAGCGCACCAAAACATGAACCAAATCATATGATCCCACAAATGATGTTGTGTGAAATGGAAATTTAAAAAAATTAGGTTTTGTTGCACATCTAAGCGTCATGCACAATGAATAGTTCATCATGCGTTCATTAACCATGACTTAGTCCGAACTATGAGTGGTAAATGTGTAAGGCATACCTTGCATGAACAGATATGCCATGTGACATACGAGATTCTGACAAAATTAGCGTGGAGATCATTGGGATTTATGTGGGTGATAAAATCGATTCCGGTGAGAGGAAAATGGATTTTATTGTAATGGACATGGTTACCATTACACTAGCCATACCCATTAGGGCTCTGGTGTCGATCTAATTACATATAATATGCCTATTTAGGCTAGCACCTTCCTCTGTGTGAGAGAGATAATCATGGTATCTCGAGACGAGACAATGGCCTGTGGTTTGTTTCTTCGTCTAATTTTATGCTTTATTATCAAGTCAAAAGGAAGATAAATCCTAAGGAAATGCTTGCTTCTTTACGCCCAAAGATTTTAAAATCAAGAAGTCCTCAATGATGCGCTGGAAGCTGAGTTTTAAGGGTGTTAATGAGCATTGTGTGTGTCTCTTGTGCAACTTGTTTGCGTTTAGGAATCTCAAGCTGGCATCATGATTGGAGAATCTGTTTACAAGATGTAGAGTGTGAGTGGGGATTTTTGAGATGACGCAGATAGTTTGGCTAGTTGTAGTGGTATGGAACTGCCTTGAAAGTAAAGGGCAATTGAAGAATGGAAGGCTGGGGATGGTGGGGATGGTGGGGAAGATTTCCGATAGGAGATGGAGAAAGAATAAGTGTACAGAGTATAAGGTGCATGGATTGAGAACGTTCCTGGTAGATACAAGAGATACTAGAAAGAACGTACGATACCATAGACCTTGCATACAAGAATATGCAAATGTGACGATGTTTTGTGCAAGCCAGATGTTGAATGTACCCCACTCGAACAAAGATCAACCGCATTGCGACATGACTTCGTAAAACCCAAGACAATACGATGATGGAATCAAGGAAATAACCGGCTATGAGAGTTATAAATGGTAAGTCATGACGCATTCGCGGCCTCTAGTCATTGCTTTATCGCGTCAGTATCACAATTTAGTCATCAGCAGTGAAGTGAAATCTGGTACACTAGTAAAGCTATCAACAGGCCGGACGTGGGCTAAGTTCTCGAGTATGAGTACGTGGTGGGTTCCTATATGTAGGCGTGGAAGGGATGAAGAATTATTGGTATTGATTCACTAGAGTCGCACCTTCCATATTGATTCCCAACAATGAAAATCGGGGAAATAAAAAAAATGGTGATGTCTTATCATAGAAAACGATACGTCGGGTTCAATTGAATTGACATTTAAATTTTATCATTCCAACAGTTGTGTGACATGGAAATGATTCAACGAGATCACTGCTATTCCCATTTCAGGTTGTAGCACTATCTTCCGCCGTTGCAAATTGCCAAGACACTACTCGGTAGTTTTAGCGACCGTTAAATTTAGGGGGAAGTTTAATCTCACGTGAAGTGATAACGCTCAAAGTAGACCAATAAGAGCAAAATCTGTACGAAATCACCTATCAGAATAGGAACCTGAGAATGTTTCAAGTTGTTCTAGTCTGTATACATCACTGTAGAGTGATTGATTATTATGAAGATCGGTACGGTTGAGGGAGTGATGGAATAGCGCTAAATCTTACAAACTACGGTCAGGTGTTTACATTCCTAGTCTTCCACTCTCCCACCTTTTCGAATCTTTTACCTTTCTCTCTCAAAGAACTCTACTTTTGTTCACCTCAACGTCGACCAACGCATGCATTCACACCAGAAAGAAAACACAGAATCTAAGCCGTTACCCATCATGCCCCATATCCTCATCCAGCTCAGATTATCGAATTTCATTCTCCCCTTTTAGTTGGAGCTCAGTTCGTGTAAACTGAGCCACAACGCTATCTGCTGTATCGAAGACTTTGAGGTCTCAAATCTATAGCTATTTGGACATTCGAATCGACACCGAACGTCATCTTATCTCCAATTTCGACACATTTTCTCTCTCATACAAAAATCACATCCTTCCTATCTCTCATCTTGAGTTGCACAACTAGTCAACTCAATTCGTCGAAGGGGCTTTACATAACAACAAATACACAATCGCCTACAAGCCTTTCGTCGACGCGAAAAATAATCTACATCTAAAGTTCATCGAACTATCTGCTCGAACATCACACCATATCTATCTACAACACTAAATCGACTCGCACCTCCAACAGCCCATTTATTCTTGATAATCAAAATGGCCTACAGAGGAAAAACCCAAGACGGGGTCAACAAAAGAACCCAAACCGCCAGCGAACGAACTTCGATGACGATTACTATGCCACCGCCTCCTGAAAACTTTCCTCAATTTTCTCAAAATGAAGCCAATGGAATGCAAAGTGACGAGAATGCTGTTTCTGGCCATCTCGCCAAGACTCCTACTCAAGAGTTTGCGAATTTCAATAAACAAGTCAATGCCAATGGTAGCGAGGTCAATAAATCGCCCAAACCGTTGAGCGCAACTGGAAGTGGAAATAGAAGAGACATGGAAACCAAGTCGTCCACCCATACTTATGGTCACAAACCCAAGACCAGACCATTTATCAGGAAGAAGAACGGCATCAAGAAAAAGAGAGGCCGCAACTTCCAGAGATATCAGCATTGCTCTACAAAGGACGTCGACAACGATAATATCGAAACAGACGATGAAGATGGAGACAGACATAAGGACAAACATAGAGGTGGAGGTAAATATGGAGATGAGAATGGAGATGACGATGAGCCAAGTATATCTTTGTGTCAGCGAATGTTGCTGAGCTTCAGAAGGGAAATGAGAAGTTTAACAAATCAGAGGCGTTGGAATTTCACAAGTCAAGCGCCTCGGGCAATATTCTCGGGGCTGAGTCCAACTCCAGGGATCCAGCAGCCACCTCCCATCTGAATGATATGAATGGCAACAGTCCCAGAGAATCAGAAAGACTTAGTGAAGGTCCGCAAAAGATTCATAATGGCGCCATTATACCTGATCCAAACTTTAATACTGAAGTCTTGTTCTCGAAGGAAAGAGCCCCTCCAAAGATCATTCAACTTGAACCTGTAGATAGAAATATCGCTATCATACACAAGATGATTAAAGAATCTCCCGAGGAACCGAAAATGTCAACATGGAAGTTGATACGCCACAGGGTTTCTTCATGGACAGGAAGGCTTAATCCTTTAAGAAGGTGGAGTCAGTCCGGGAGAGACAATGAAGCAAGAATGTCCCTAAGACACAGTGAAGCAGATCTAGGCGCATTGACCAGAGATGAACTCAGGGAGAATGCTGAAAGAAAGATTGTAAATGGTCACACAAGAGACTCTGTGCACAGCATCAAGCGAGCCGGCAGCTCGGGACAGAATTCCGAAGAGAGTTTTTTGAACGCTGATGTATATGGCATCAGAGAAGTCGAAGCTGAAGTCATCCGAATTTCGAATCCTGCACGAACGTGCTTCATCTCTAGGTCTAAGTCTGTAAGATCTGTTGAGCCAATTATAGAAGACGCTTCAAATGAGACAGGAGGCGGGAACGCAGCCCAAGAGAATGCGCAAAGGCTTCAAACTACACAGGAACCTATCGATTCGGACCCTGAAGGCACGACCTTGAGAAGACGACCCAGGGTAGAGAAATTACGTCGTGAATTCACCGGTTCTATTGACGAAGTTATCAATTCGAATAGAATGCTTCATGCAATGTCAAATACTGACACCCAAGGCTCTTCTGCATCAAGTGGATATTTGGAAACTATCACCACCCGTAACCTCATTGGCTACAACAACGGGCTCAATCAATCGCAACAAAATCTTACTTTAATGTCAGGAGTAGCCGATGACTCTGTTCAAGACGACGACGATTTTGGAGCCCCTCTTTGTCGCTATTCTAGTCGTGAGCCCTCCGCCGAAGAAGAAACCCAAGAGCATGACACCCTAGAAGATAAAACTTCAACAGTAGCCGCCATCAAGGAGAAATGCCGTTCAAAAGTAGATCGTGGCGCTGTGCGGGGATTTGTGCCCAAAGGGGGCCCCATTCCAGAGAGCGCCCTTGAAGATTCGGAAGCCAGTCAAAGATCCAACTCCGATCCGCCAAGCCTGACAGATACTACCAACACCTCAGAAAGCAGTATGAGCGTCCAGCAGCAATATTCTTGTGGGATCTTCAGATCAAATGCCATCAGAAGAAATCGTCGATCGATGAATTTTGAATCATACAATGATGCGCTCATGTGACAAAGCGACGTTGATCATGGCGCAGTGTTTGGGGAATGGCGGCATCGTCCAAATTGAGTGGTAGGATGAGATCTGATAATTAGGTCTGAGGTAAATAAATTGGAAAAGTTGGAATTCAAAAGGTACTGGGGGATTTTGATTGTATTTGAAAAAAAAAAAAAAAAAAAAAAAGGAGTTAGTTACAGGCCTACGATTCGTTTGATTATATCTGCAAGTATTTTGAAGGATAACATTGTCGCTCGTTTATCATTTGCAATGAAGTTTACTTCATACAACTATCATTCATTTTCAAAACACGAGAGACTCTAAGATATGGCTCATCACTCGTTTGACCATATTTATGAGTGGGAAAAAAGAGGGATGGATAGGAAAATTACCACCACTGGCAGGATAGACAGGGAATTATATGTATATTTCATGTGTAGTTTACTAAAATGACAATATTCTTTATCCTTTACTCCCGGCTTTTAACAAAATTTCAGTTGATTGCGAATGAAAAGTCTGGTATCTGTGGATCCAAGCATGAACCGGCCTCCTAGGTGGTTCACTCTACTTAGAGCGCGGGCAAATTAGGGGAAACTTCATGCAACGCTACAACCATTCTTACTGGAGGGAGTCTGAAATTTCGTCACCTAAACTCTAAGTGCTTCTTACATTCACAGGCACTCGCTGCATTAATGATCGAAAAGACAACGCAATTCCCGGCAAGGAAAGAAAACTAACAAGCAAATCGAAACAAAACAATTTATTACCAAGTCCTTCTGTTCTCCGTAAGTCGCAATCCTACATTTCTTCTGTAGATGCTGATACTGATGTCATTTTAACACATTGAATCTGAATCGTTCAAACATAAAGCCACCCGAAAAGCCATAATCAATAGAAGATATCCGTTTGTTCGCTCCGCCCCACGCTAATATATGAACCAATCGCTCGACTCCCTACCTCTACTTTACTCATTGAAGTAGCCTCATCTATCCGCACCTTTCTTCATGCCAGTCACTCATGACATCTCTCCTGCACTACTTTTCCTCTCCGACTGTCCTTCGGGCTGAACATTTCTCTTTGCCTTCATCACCGAAGCAATTACCGAAGCTACCGCTAACACTTCAAACGGAATCACACATACACTCATGATTCCTGCAGCTCTGCTTTCCAAACACAACGTTCCCCAATGTGGTGAGGTTGATGTACTGATATTTGACCATTGGCAACTCCACGTTTGGACAGTCCACTTTGTCGAGGAAGTTAAAGCATCGAAAGGAATTGCTGAGGCGACGACTGCAGCAAGAAGGGCGATAGCCAGTGGAATGAGAGTAGGAAGAGCTAACGGGTTTCGCTTCAACTATTCGATAAAGGATTAGCTCTCAATACACAACTCGGGAGAACATGGCAGTAACGTACGGCAGGAACAAATTGCCCCACAAGGGCCACAGAATTCATAACGAAAACTACAACTCCACAAACAACCCCGGCAATGGTGGGTTTCAAATCAAAACTTTGAGGCCAGACTGGTAATCGAAATTCAGCGCCCAGATGAGTGGAATGGAAGACTTGGAGTGCGTTTGCTGATGTAGCCATGATAGCAAGACCAAGAATTGCGCTAATGGCTATGAATGCCGTGTTGGCATGTTGAGCCATCGTTGCACGGGGGCGGGAAGAGGAAGCTTCGGGTGTGAATTCTTGGAAGGAGGATGTGACGATAGTGAGGGGCTGCTTTGGTTCTGGGGATGGAGATGGGCCTGCCATTTTCGCTGTTTGAGGTATTGAATGATGGAGAGAAGAGAAAGAAGGTATTGATATGATGATATCGCGATAAAGAACGAATGTAAGATGAGAAATGCAGTAAGAATACCCCACAATAAGCACAAGAAGCTGAAGAACAAGAATGCGAAATGAACTCAGATATGACGACCCTACGAAATGAATAGAATGGGGGACTTCAATAGGTACATATACTTCCTTGCTATCAGATAAGTATATCACTTACAATTCAATAGTTGAAGATGTCTTCAACCAACAGAATTGATGAGAATAACGCTGAAGGTTCAAATGCAGTGCTTCAAAATGATAGGGCGGTATAGCATGCCGCTTGTGCACTTCGGCATGTTTGTATTCATATCTTCCAATCAGACGGTAAAATCCCTAGAAGTCTGTCCCAATCAGATTTCCAAAATCATAGACGTCCTGTGAGATTTGTAAATGGTTGGTTCAGAATGTCTCTCGGTACATGATTTTCAAGGTTATTTTGGGCTGCGCACAGGCACGAGCGCTTGCATGTAGGGGTAGGCGGCTATGGGGTGTTAGAGTAGACCAATGTGAGGATTGCAGTGAGCTTTTGGTGGGTTGATGGTGATGAATTAAGGAATTGAGGGTGCAAATCTATTATCTTGCTGTTTCGTGTGGGTGAGATTGCTGTGGTCGGTAATTAATTGTCGACATTGAGAAAGATCGCGATTCGTGGCAGGATAAGTACGGCGGTCTATACATATTTCTGGTCGCGATTCTTTCTTCTCTTTGTACTAGCAAGCAGCATACAGCTGATTTTGGGGGGCTCCTAGATATCTTGTAAAAATCCGAGAATATCAAGTTGTATAGGAAGGCAAAGTGCGAGTCAGATATCGACACTTAACCATGGCGAGAGTTCCTTCTGCCTCACGTGCAGTAAGTATTCACGAAACACATTCCCATGACATTCAAGCATCGCGGTTACCTAGTAATGAGTAACATCCATTTGATAGTTGAATAGATGTGAAACTTCGCATTCGACATTTGTTTGTTATCAAGATCTTAAAAGCGTGTTTGATGAGTTGTCACGTGGTCTGCGTATCCGAAATTAATGTTCTCGTGGAATCAACAGAAAACGCTGGAGACGATCGTATCAAGATCTGGCTTTTCCTATCTGAAGTGTCGATAAAAATCTGCATGTTTTCAGCTGGTAGTGTGCTGGGCAGTTGGTCTGGTTTAGGACTGCAATCTTTTTGGTACCACTTAATGTGTGTCCGCTTCATGGAACCAAAAGACGAGATCAAAGTTCTTATTCGTGAATATTGATCGAATATGAAATCTAGAAGTAAAAGAAAGATGAGGGACGTGGTTTACCAACAACACGGAATATTATTGACGAATATTTCGTCTTCTCCTGCAGCTATCATTCCTTTTTATCAAGATCATGCTCTCGCAAACCAATCAAAAGCCCATCATTTGCAAAATTTCGAGCCTTATATGTATGCCTGATGCGAATCCGGGAATCCGAGTGCGAAACTATGTCATGTAACATGTAGCAGATCTGCAATAAGAACATTCCACAGACCATACTATGGATCTCAAGCTTGTCAAGAAACTTTAATCGAGAAGGCATCACTTTAGACTTCACTTGGCTCTTCCAGCCATCATCATTGTTATGCGAATACATTGTTCGTAATTGGCTGCGCGAGTGCGAGTGCGAGAAAAGACCCATGAGGATGGATATTACGGGGAATGCGACGAACTTATATTCTCCGACTATGAGGATCAGTAAGTAGATTGACCCCTATTGAATCTTCGAGTTTCACATTGGTTGTGGAACTGCCATCTTAATATCTTTGACTACGACTAAAAGTGGCATGTCAAAACGAATGCGAGGTCCGAGAAACACTTCATCATCGGCTCTACTTGCGGATAGCCAACGTTGACGGCGTTCAGATATGCATAATGTCCGGCATTGATTTTATAAATTGTCTAAGAGGGGGGCCCAGCAACTCTCTTCGTCTGGTAGTGGGTATCCGGGGTCTTTCGATCCACGATGATGGCAGTGATCACCAAAGGCAGCGCAAAACTCACTATGTTGCTTGCCTTGTGCGATTCGTTTCTTCGGACCGTCCTATGATAGGTTCATCTAATATGACAGGATGGAATTAAAGTGTTGTAATACAAGGAGTCTTGTTTGAGAAGGGGGATGTTCTAGAAGCTATTAATATGATAAATACTTCGATCTGCTGTTCTAGAACGATACTCACAGCTCACTCACATTAAATCACTTCAATTTCAAATACACAATTACTCCTACAAGCCAATATGAGACTTAACGTTCTTCCCGCTACTCTAGCCTTTGGCTTGGTCACTGCTAGAGCTCACTATCACCAACATGATGCCGTCAATGATACTGAAGGTGTTTGGATAGCACCTACAGATACCGACTGTATGTCTTGCTTATCAAACCTCTTCTTCTTCTTATTTACAAGATACTGATATCTCATAGTCCGCGGTCCATGTCCCATGATGAACACCCTGGCAAATCATGGGTTTCTTCCCCGCGATGGCAGGAATCTTACAGAATACAACGTTGTCAAGGGTCTCAACGATGGTCTCAACTTCAACAAATCTCTTGCAACAATCATGTTTCAACAAGCCATACCAGTTAGCCCAGCTTACCCCAATACCACTTCCTTCACTCTGTAAGTACCCTCAATCCTATCCTTTCACTTCCCGCCCCCGTATCAAACCCAACAACTAACACCCATCAGCGACGATCTGAACCGCCACAATGTCCTCGAACACGACGGAAGTATAAGTCGTTCCGACGCCTACTTCGGCAACAACCACGTTTTCAACCAAACCATCTTCGACACCACAAAAGTCTACTGGCCCTCCGAGGTCCTCACCGCTCAACATCTCGTCGACGGTAAACTCTTCCGACAAATCGTTTCTCGCTCCACCAATCCCAACTTCACATTCACCTCCACCGTGGAAGCATTCAGTCTTGGAGAGATGGCCGCGCCAATTGTCGCTTTTGGTGATAAATTTGCGGTTACGGCGAATAGAACTTTGGTTGAGAGTTGGATTGGTGAGTTTTTGACACTTTTTTGTTCCGTTGGTAAAAGAAGGAGACTAATTTGATACGCAGAAAATGAAAAATTGCCTACTGAATTGGGATGGAGTAAACCAGTCGAGGAGGTTACTTTGGATGATATCTCATACGTGACGCAGTATCTTGGCAACCTTACTACGGTTCAGAGCGATATTGTTCTTACACCAAGAGATCAGACTACTAGTGCCCATGCTAAACGTATGGGTCATTGGGGTATCTCCATGTAAGAGGAGTTTGGAAGGAAATGCAGGGGAAGCATAGCTAGAGTGATTTGGGGAGGAAATGTTTGATTAAATTGAATGAAAGTTCTTGGTGTGTAGGAGATATATTGGATTCGTTTTTTTACATAGAGATCATCTTTTTGAATGAAACAGTTCCTGGGCTCGAACTTTCGAGCATCCATGAATAAATTCGTTTTCTCATACCCCAATTGATGCAAGCAAGCATTTGGACAAAATCAATTTATGTGTGGAAACTCGAACCTGTAGTTAGAAGTAGATGACAGAGAGATTGTATGAATAATCACATTTGCAAAGATCAAAATAATGAGTCAAGTGTTTATACTTAACTATTGGAATTGTATCGAATGGCCCATTTATCGGAAAGCGATCCCTACAAACTTCTTATCCACGCTAGACCACCACGTAAACTGGCCCAGTATGCTGGAAAAAATCCCTTATCTTTTCATCGTAACACATAATTCGATTGACCACCCATCCTTCAAGACAGGTATTTTCGAAACCCTGCCCATCCGAATTGGCGATGATGCCGAAGAAGAAAAGATCCAGTTGGTACCCGTCAGACCCAACGATTAAAGTCAAGCCAAACACACTTGACACATTCATATATGTTGTCCCGCCACGAAACTGAAGACCTGTGGTAGTTTATGTCATACCCAGACCCAAAATATCAGAGAAAGCTACAGATGTAGTAGTCCATGCCTCAAAGAGGAACTAGACCAATGCGTCCTGCCTCTCACCTTGCTTTCTCTCCCCATAATCTGTGACATACAACAGAGAAGAATCGTTCGATGTACCAGATATAGTGGAGGCTGGTTCGAAATGTAGAGGGTGAGGTAAAGTGAGTTTAGACTAGAGCGGGAAATGAAACAAAGCAGAACCTTGTCTAATTAAGGTCCCCAAAAGGGAGCAGCAGCAATAGATGGTACATTGCTACGTGCTTCTGTTTGTCTAATCAGAATTGGAACCTCTCCAACCAAGGTTCCTGAAGCTGGCAATTCCATACGTTGTTGACCCGTACAAGGAATAGTTGCTTCTATTGAATGCTGATCAGATTTTATCAGAGGTGGTAGTTTATGTCATTACCAGACAAAGATTTCAGAAGAATTTAACGACAAAAGTGGGTAGTAATCCAGACCACAAAGGGGAATGTGAATCAATGCGTCTCGCCTCTTAAAGCTGATTAATCCCGCCCTTTCGATCAAAACATTGCCAGACCATAGACTGGTGGTATGGAGTGATTAAAAGTGCTGCAGTAAGGTTTTCGAAATTAGACTAGAGCGAGGAAAGGGATTTACCGAACGGAACCCTTCCTAATCAAAGGTTCCTAAGAGCTGGTGTTAACATAAATCAAATGGCAGTACGTCGTAATGTGCTCCTATTGAAAGTATGATTGTGAAAGCTGGCATTGCCGTACATCCTTGGGTAGTACGTCGTAATGTACTCTCGCTTGAAATGTGATCCCGAGAGCAAGGCATTGATGTACATCGTTTGGCAGTACATTTCAATGTTGCTCGTATTGACATCAGAAGCTACCTAGATAGGTAGTGATTTCTATGAATTTAGAAGGTTCATCGAAATCAATTCGTCCCGCAGTCGGCCGGCAGGGAATTATGGCCTTTTAACGTCTTGCCAAGGACTTTCAAGAGACGTCGAAGACGACTGCGCTCGACGAGGCTTGAAATACTGGACATCTTGATCATCCAATACCCAGACCGTGAGTCAAGAAGTGCAAAATCAAATAGACTTTGAAGATATTCTTCCAAATTCCGGTTCAGCGTAATGCCTAGACGGAGAGATGCCTTGTTGATTGGTAGTTTATGTCGTACCGGACATTCGAAAAATAGTAATGATCCGTCAGTGAAGTCGAATCTATTTTTGAGATATTTAGATGGCTTTATTGAAGTAGTGATTTGGATAAGGGAACTTGAGAAGTTATCCAAATCGATGTGGAGACCGAGTTTAACGTCATGCTTAGACCAGCAAACGCCGAAGTGAAGTACTCTTGGTAGACGAAGTCATGACCAGAGTACGGGAGAACAGAAGCTGCTTTTTCTGGTCGAACAAAGTCCGAATTGAGTTGCTAGATAAATTAGTAGCATGGATATGGTAATTGGAAGAGTATCCGTGCTGACGCGTCTCATTTTTCTGGAGGAAAATGAGGTATATGGCTGGACGCGAGTTACCACTCTCGTCGAACGTGGACTATTGTCTATCCAATATCCAGACCGCGAAAAAAAGTTTATGTTGTAATTCAGACTTCGAGAAAAGATGTCGAGATTCTAGTTTAAAGTCATACTCGGACTATGCGAAAGAAGCTACCGGAGTAGTGACTTGGGTATAGATTGTTGTCGAGATATCCAAATCAATGCGTCTCGTCTTCTGCGTACAGACGAGGAATAAGCCTTTTAAATTCGTGCTCAGGACAGTTTTTAATTGATAGCAGAACTTCGAGCTCCGCCAGGAAAAGCCTATCTCAGTCGAAGCTGTGCCAAGACTGATGAAGAAAGCTACCGAAGTAGTAATTAGAATATGGAGAGTTGTTGATTCTTATCCTAATCAATGCGTCTACACCCTTTGGATATGGGTGAGGAAGTAAGCCTTTTAATGTCAAGCCCAGGACGATCTTTCTGAAAAGAGCTTGACTCTTTGTCGAAAATGGGTGAAAAAAACTCGAAATCTTACCAGACTCCGAGAGGAAAAGCTACCGAAGTAGTGGTTTGGATTTTTTCTTATGAATGATCCAAATCAATGCATCTTGTTCCTATTTTAAACATTAGCATGTTGGTATCGTAAACTCGAGTGAATGCACTTACACTGCTAGTGACTCTTAAAGGTAATCGTGAGGAGTCAAAAGAGCAAATCAAGGTATTCAAGCCTTTTATACCATCGTGCTTAGGGGGTTATAAGAGAGAAGCTGGCATTAAGTCTGGAAGAGATAAGGTGCTTCTATTTTGATACGCCGTTCATAACGTGGGCTCTGAATAAGATAAGTGAGAAGTTGGTGTCAAAGCTGTCGAGGGAGTGTGCTTGTGATGAATTTCTTTCGTGATGTTTTCGGATGTACAACAAATGTTCGAAAAGCGTGAAGTTGTTTCAGTACCGCTTGTTTGTTAGGATACAAGACATAGGCTATCGTGCTGAACTGAATGAGCCATAAGCTGGAAAGAAGTATCTGTATAGAAAATTTGACTGGACTGGGTCACAACACCAAGTAAGCCCATACTCCAGAGGAAGTATAAGTTTGGAAAAGAAGATGAAGTGACTCTATTCGCGAGCATTCTCGGTAGATCGAATAGATCAACAACAGCAAATAGGTTGCCAATAAAGATTGTCGGGTTTTTGTCTTGCGGGTACTGTATTGTGTAATCACAGTGTGCCAGACTTGTCGTTGGGAGATTAACGTCCTACCAGACGGATATTTGGAGCTTGGTAAGTATTGATGGGAGAAATCCTGAATCGTAAATTTCCAAAGATCTTAGGATATTCGAAAACACGAGGGAATTTGGTACGCAGTATTTGCTGTGTCAATGACCACAGAGCTGAGTGTTGTCGGTATGTGTCAATGTATTGCTTATACCCTTCCAGGCACGCAGTCTGGAAGTTAAAATGTTTTTTGCAGTGCTAACGCACCACAGAGCGATGAAAATATCGAGAGGAAACTCAATCAAGAGATTCCCCAGAAATGGTTGACGGAGCGTATCTGAGTATACAGCGCTCGGGCGAACCTCAATCAAGAGGTCCTCGTAACTGGTTGAACAGGGTATGCCTAGGTATACAGCCGTCGGGCGAGAGACTCGTGAAAAGAAACCCTATTGTCGAGGTGAGGCTTGGTAAGCTTCACGTATTTGAGCGGACTAAAGGTCCCAGTCGTGGTGTGCAGGAGATATCACAGAATGTTGCTCGGGATTGCCTTGCTTTTAGCACTGAGCTTTGTCGGCGGTAGTTTTATGTCATTCCGGACGAAGAACGGGACTATCGAACGATGTGGTAGAATTCTTGAAAACCGTGCAGTCGAGATTTTTGAGTGTCCTGGTTTGTGGTTTGACCAAGCTCATAGTATGGACGAAGAATTTAGAGCTTTGCGGGTCATCTAAACATTGTCAGGTTAATTGTTTAAACTTTTCAATAAACAGAATGGAAATGAAAACTTACGTCGATATGAAATATTGCTCTTCAATTTGATGTTTGAAGGTGACATGGGAAATCCCGAAGGCAGGCAAATCAATGTCAAGCAAGCAGAAAAAACAAGAACCCGACAAAGACCACACCTGCCACATCAGTGGATGAAAAACAGGTAGCTGGAGACGACGACAATCCATTTTGCGAAGCCATATCGGCGATTGAGTAGTATGACACCAGCTTGTGTGGATGCCGTGCTCAAATGAGGGAGGCAGCTATCGAGTCTCGTTGGCTTGGCGGCAGCATCATGTCGTTGAATAGAAGATGCGGATACAATCTCTGTGTAACTTCACGGTCCTGTATAGGAAGGCCCATGTCCACTGTTAAGAAGTCAGTATGGAACAACAGTTGAAAAGTAAGATTGAACGATGTTGCCAACCAAAATAGCTGATGGAAGACAAGGTGTGGTAGGACAAATGTAGTTGATCAAAGGTAAAAAGGATAGAGATAGAGGTCAAGCATACCACATCATATTGTAGATCGCACGAAGTGATTGCATCTTTGCTGATGTACCGCGAATATTGATGAAAGTTAACTCACAAGTTGAAGTTGTAGGATCGACCTGCAAGTTGAAGTTGTAAGATCGAGAAAGCAAAGTAGAAGGGGAGGTTCGAGTATTAAATAAACGAATCTTGAGGCGCAGTAGATGGCAATTTCCCCGCAGCAGTATAAGTGAATTTCGATTGTGGCCTTTTAGCCTCGGTGATAATCTTGTTTTTAGGTAACGGGCGTTTTAGGAAATGAAAAGTACGGTATGCTACCTAGTATTCACTTCAAATATGATCTTCCAAATTATATACTGATTTCTGCGTGAATGGACATCGGGACGCTCAGATATCCGAAGGCATTCTTGGTTTTGGAGGTTGGTCAAGTTTTCGTTGTTGCTGTTTTGCTGCAGTTTGAATAGAAAAGGTAAATAAGAAATGCGACTTCTATTGAGTGTCTCTTGGTGAAGGCAGAGGCAGAGAGAAGTGCTCGAGTAAAAGTGGTAGTATTGTGAGCATCTTAAAGTCAATGAATAATCAATAGGAAGGAATTATTCAAAGGAGTAATGGAAGGTGAATGAATAATAAAGACAAGCAGAA